TTTAAAAAATATTCGATTAGATAGATAAATATTACATTAGTATGTATATTACATATATAAACGTCATTATCATTGATCAATTTCTACAGCTAATATTTCGTCAAATAACACGACAAAATTAATTTCAATTTACACATTAATATTATTTACAATTTGTCAACTGCCCACGCTATTTCCTGAAGCATGGCAACAATAAAATTTCTTTCTGTCTACCATCTTGTAAAACATAATTCCAGGAAATGACCTTCAAATATTCCTAAAATATTTTCAGAAGATAAATGAAACAAGAAACAGGAAAATGTGAACACGAAGCTTCTACGAAACGTTACTTAGATTTATATAAAATATTTACATTTCATTAATAAATAATAAATATTTGTCTTTTACCCGATATTTGTGGAAAAATGTTGGTAATTCGATGATGCATAAATACATATATAGAGAGATATGGATACATATGCTTATTCCAATATGATACATAATTATCGACGGTTAAAAGGCTAATTGATCCAAGCGTTATTTTTTTTTGTGATTTTGTTAAATACGACGTCGAAGGAAAATTCGCTAATTTCGAACATGTACTTAAATCAATATCGCAAAAAATGTCGCTTACATCAATTAGCCTTTCAACCGTCGTTATGCTTATCCTATATACATAAAATGTCAATTATTTAAAAAGTAACTTAACACGAAATGGTATTTAAAATTCGGTTATTTTGTCAATTCGGAATTTCAGATGATCAGGAGCGTAACAAGGTACAGTAATACTGTCAAAACCTATTGTAATTTATCCACATTTAAAACGTAACAAATACATTCTCAATATGTCTAATCCCAATAGCAAATACCTAATGAAAATTCCCAATTCCCTGAACGTCCGTTCCTAATGGAAGTCCTGTGAATAATTTTACAAATTACATTTTAATTCATGTATAGGCTGTACTAGAGAGGGCCAGGCTTCATTTACATAATGTAGGCATTCCTACGTGTGCTATAAAACGTTGTACATACACACATACTTACAACTTTCATGGAAGCCTATCTCTTTACTAGACTTCGGTTGCACGTATTTCATCTAGCTACCTCTTGGAGCTTTGACGTTATTCTAATAGTCTAGTTCATTTAATAGATGTTTTATTAAAGAAAGTAATAAACTGTGAGAATGTTTGTCATTAATATTGAAAATCACTCATACTACAACCATCAAAACAGGATATTTTTCATAACAGCAAAGAGAAAATATAATTACACTTCACGAATTAAACCTCATCATAAGTACAAACAAAATATGTAAGTAAATAAGTACTGGAGACGTACTTCACCGTCAAATATAAAACGGGCGAAAAAACGAAACGATTGCGCAGACATAAAAGCTAACATAATTAAATCGGCCGAGAGCAACTTATCCCTGAGTGGAAGGAACAACGTCTTTTCTCTTCAACGACATTACCAATTCATCACACGGCTCGCTGAAAAGCGACCACTTTGTTACTTATATATCTTTCCGCACAGGTTCGCCTCAAAAAGATCGGGAATCATTTTTCTTCGGTTCCATTAGTGGGCATCGGCCGCCCGAGACGGATATGCGGCTGCAAACATAAACAAAGTAATGGCGCCCGTCTAGTGACAAAGAACATCCCATCAGAGGGCAAAGCGGCAGAATCAATACGGATCTGAATGAGCCCGTCTCGTTTGAGAGGCTCTGCGCTCGCTTCACGTTATTGTACGATAGCGATCCGAGAGGCCTCCTCTCTGCGCCACAATATGGCTGACTCAGGAGATGAGACTGTGAGCCACGTCTCGTGTGCGCTGAGCCGCATTGTCGCACGCTCTATCTCGCGCAAAGCATCACCTGTATCCACACAAAGACAATAATGGTAATTATACAGTTAGTTCATCTGTGAACACGATTGAGTTCGAAGCCGAGTGATCCGTTAGCTTTGTTAGTCAACAAGGAAGTAGCTACAATGTAATTTACGAGTAATATCCAATTAGTGAACCAATTAATTTAATAAAGTTATTTGAGCGTTACTACAAAGGTTGAAGGCATTTAATACAAGTATTCGTGATCAATTCAGATGTCTGTTTGCGAAACAAAGCTCAGCCTAAATATTTATCTGCCAATAACAGTAGGTACCTACAACCGCGAGGATCTCCACTAACGATTTTTATAATTTATTGCTCTCTCAATTAATTAGCATGTTCTCTAATACATTTAAATAAACCAATTATTAAAAGAAATATAAAATTTGTTTTTTTTACACTATTTACTTTTTTGAATTTGTCAAGGTTAAAGACGATCAATAGTTCTTACATTAAGAATAACCTATCTAAGTTATTACAACTTTCTGTATTTTTTTATCATAAACATCAATAGTCAAACATTGGACAGAAATCCATACATCATGATCATGATATCCCATAATTTGGTAAAAGATTTGGTAAAAGTAAAAGATTGTCTGAATAGAACAGACATCATAAACCAAATTTAGGAACTAATCTTTCAAGCTTGTCATGTAAACCAACAAGGCTATCCGAATCTAAAATATCGAGTAACACGCCTTTGTTGATAGCCAGCTTCTGATCGACTTAACAAAGGTAACATTTGATATTTGTCTACAAACTGTTATACAAAACATTTCATTACCTATCTAGTCATTGTTTTAGTAAATTAGGTAATTCGGATAGTGTTCGGATCGCGAGACGATCTCCGACCACCGTAAGGCCGCGGACCTGCGGACGGCCAGCACGAATAACTCGCCGTCGAAGAACGCCTAACAAGTTGTCGGGGCTCCGGCTCGACGAGCAGGAGTAGGAACTGGGTGGTTTTTAGTCAGTAATAGTCACTTCTTCTCGCCTCAACCAAGTGGGAGAAGTCATTGGATGATTAAAAAAATTGTAACATAACTTTACCCCAAAAAAGAAGAAAGTCGTACTCTACACATAGAAAGTTGTAACGATTAACATACAGATTTTTGAAACGCAAACATTACTTTTTTTATTTCTTATGTATCATATCAGAAACCTTACGTAATAAGGTTACACTTGGAACTAACTAACTACTAAACGTAAAAGATAACTAAACTTCCTAACTATAAAAGATAACTTCGTTTTACAACAGATAAAATGTATAAATACAAAGCCGTAAAAATTCACGATCAAAAGCTGAGTAATCCTTAACCAAACTCAAATGGAAATAAATGGCCGCGAAATCGTAAACAAATCTAAATGCACGTGTAAGGAACAAAAATTCAAACGAAATTAGTCTGTTCTCGAACAGCTTATACGTCGAGTTTCACAAAATTGATCCTTTCCCCAAACAATCTTTACTTTCGCCTAATTCAACAGTTTTTCCCCGATGTGAAAAAGGAGAAATAACTCTGAATTTTGGCCGGCGTACACTTTGGTACTCTTGTTTGCCTTCGGCTCCAGCTAAATTAATATCGAACCGTGAAAATTAGGAGCGAACTGGAATTACGAACGATTCGGAGCGGTGTGTTCTACTCTGATCCAATCAGAACAAACATTTAAAATTAATGTCCTACTTTTTGCTATAATTCAGTTCAATTCTAGTTCTATTTTTAAAACCTTTCCAGTGTCTAAATACTCACTATGTATCAAATGATAAAAATGAGTCTATAAATGACTACCAAATGACCTAATATCAGCTAGGATCATGAAGAAATTATATTAATATTGATACAAAATACAATAAAATATTGGTAAATAACTTGTAATATTTTATACATTTCCAGAACACTATGCTTTATTTAAACCTGCTACATTCTTCGCGTATTAATGCAGAAAAATAAAAATAAATTCTTTGTAGGATTTTCTCGTTGGATCAGAGTGGAATACAACTTGGAAGCGGGCTTGCGGGTGGATAGCGGGCAAGAACGGGGTTTTAGATCAAATAAATATCTTTTTCAAATCCTGTTTGCCTGGTATATGAAATCGGTAGTTTAAACTTCCATTTGCCCTATTTACTACATTATTTAGTACGTGGATCGATTTATTAGGTACTAAAAATAGTTTTACATTGTATGTTAGCTGTCTAATATTTTGTAGGTACTATTATTTATTGATACCTGCCTATAATTGATGTAAAACTTATATCCTATTCAGTTCTTAATCGAGCTTCTCTAGATCTAGGTTTAAAAACAGGGTCATTGTCCGTCCCATTCAAATTAATATTTAAATCCAATTAAATAAATTTTCAGTACTGTATTATTATCATTTACAGCACAAAACGGAATTAATTATAATAAACTGCAGCCTAAAATAGCAGACCAAAGCGCATTTCGAACTTTGAATTCCGCCATTATATTTGTTCAAACCTAACCACAGTCGGATGGACCGAAATATTTTGTTTAAAGCGATTCATAATAACTAAATATTCGTCATATTTGTATTCCACAATAACTGATCAAGTTATTTATCGAATGCAATATTAATTTCCATGTTATTCCGGTACTGGTTCGTAGAGACAAGCATTGGACGTATTATTATTATTTCATCGAGTTGTGGTTTTGTGAGGGAACTTGATATTGTGTTAATTTGGTTTTATTTATTTGTACATATGGTATTTAAATGGAATATTCGATTACATTATAGTGATATGGATTTATTTATTTTGTATGGGCGAAAACAGTTAACTCTCAAAATTGTCGCGGAAAACCTAACGGGTTACCGGGGCTCCGGCTCAACGTGCAGGAGAAGGCACGGGGCGGTTTTTAGTCAGTAAGAGTCTGACACTCCCTCCCGCCTCACCCAGGCGAGAGAAGTCATTCGATGATTTTCCCCCCAAAAAAACTCTCAAAATTCGAAATTCAAAAGTTTAAAATAACTACATAAATTGATTTACTGTCTGTGAATAGTTGCCCTCACAATTAACATTCGAACCTGCAAAAAAAGAACACGCATCAACACAAATCATGTTTCACCGTCATGTCATCTTATGAGACATAAAGAATCATTAATAAAATATTGTTTTGTTCCAGACTGCACATCAACATCATCGCTGCTGAGCGGGGTGACGACGGTGTCAGTAGCCGTCACTGGGCTGGACCGGCCGCTCACTAAGAAGGTCCGACCTAAACCAGCGTCGCCTAATAGACAGGGCCCACAACAGTGCCAAGTAAGTATCAATATGATACCGTTGCACGGTTTACGTACATTCGTGTCGCGACATCAAGCTAAGTAAGCATATCGGTCGTTTCACTTAGTTCGTAACAATTATTAAAATTGTCTTCAGTGTGTGTACAACAGCCAACGTAACACAAGCGTATCTGTGAGAATCATTAAAACTATTACTAAACTGTAACTGGGGGATAATAAACCTTCTATATAACCAAGTGAAGAGTATTCATTCATCACCACACTCAACAATCAACTCAACCAACTGAACTCAACTAACGGTAGTGTACGGGCAAACTAAACCCGTACAACCGTAGAGAAGAAGAAAGATTTATTCTATAAAAAAAAATGTGTTAACGTCAAATATTTCTCTTCTACATGCACAGGTAGTGTAAATTAGTTGCGACAATGGGGATGATGACAGGGTATGAAAATTAAAAATATAATTAGTCCGTAAGTTAGGTAATGAAAAAATATTAGACACGTATTTTTTTATTTTGTCGTGTAATAAAACAATACTTAGATAAAACGAATCAAAGTTTAGGAGTGGGGGCTAAAACGTCATTTCTCAGTATAAAATGTACTGAGAAGTGACGTCACGCGACATTTCAAATCAATATATCTTCGAAACTATTCGTTTCCGTAAGAAAATAAAAAATACGTGTCTAATGTTTTTAAATAATCTACCAGACGGACATTAAAATAAAAATTAGTCGTCTACCCTATCTGTAACGACGGTTTATTTTTCCTTGCCTCAAAACAACAATGTACGACACAGTGATATAAGTTTCGTGCTTCAAAATCTAGCAAACGCATTACGATTTGTGTCGAGCACAGACTACACAGAATATATTCGACATCACGTACCCACCATTCCTGACTAGTCGTTTCAAGCGCTAGATTGAAAAATGTGCGTTACATGTTCGTTCTATAACACTAATATTTAAAAAAAATGCAATTTGTGAAACAGCCTGTATTGTGTAGTTGAATAATTTTATTTTAATCTAATGTTATGGCTATGGCGTACTAGGATTGGTTAAACAAAGATTCGCCGTTCGATTTTCAAATTCTGATTCTTTACGGATTTATTATATTTAAATGCCATTCAATTTTAAAAAGCTGTCAATCATAGTTACTATCTCTAAAAATTCTATGTAAATGACAGAGATAGCACGATATTTAAATACAATATTTAAATACTATTGCGAGATAACGATAATAGTAAAGATGGACTTCTAATATAAAGTTATAAAATAAAATAGTTCTAACTCTTATATGTATATCTTTGCCTTCTTATTTAAGCCAAAGACGAAAGAATTAGGCAATTTTCCATTTTAACTTTTTTTGAGCAAAAAATACGCAAATTTTTCTGCAGATGCACGATGACGTGATGGTTACATAATCACAGTCCTTAAAAGTTCGTCATCATGGGGAAGTGTTCTCAAGAACTCACTTAACGCTAACTTCATTTTACGCTCTGTCGTATAACATTACATAAAATGAAATGATGATCCGCATTTCGAACTAGGTATATAAATTTAATCACCTCTTCTATCTATTCGAGGTAAACTAATATATATGTATGTGGACCAAAATACTATCTGTCAAAATTTATTTCCGAATGTTGGTTAAATTATAGAAAATTTTGATTAAATACGTGTTTTATAGAAAGTGGCTGAAGTGACTGCCTCGTTGGCCGAGTGGTCGCAAGTGCCACTGCCGAGCAAGGAATTTTTTAAAAATCCCAGTATGTAATATCACATAGTCAGGAATTGTGCCTGGTATATGGCAATAGTCTGACCTCCTATTACATGGGACTTAGGTATAACATAAACAGTGAAAAGTGAGTGTTACATTTTACAGTGGCATTAAGTGCCGTAATGTGCACCTCTGCCTACCCCTTCGGGGTTAAAAGGCGTGAAGTTATATTTATGTGTTTTTATAGAAACTTAACTACGGAAAGATATAATACTTCTACTACCATACTATAGAAAACAAGCGCAATAAGCGATTAACCTCTTTTACGAATCATATAGCAAAAAGAAAAAAAAATGAGCTAACAATAAGCGACCATAATTTATACATACATAAAAACACATCGATGTTCTTTGAAAAGCGGTTCATAGTTATGTGACGTCACACTAGTGTCGAGCCGTTTCCGTCCCGTGATCGTCGATGGTCCGTGACTATTGCCTCCGATTTGTCTCTGGCCTGTACAAAGGAGCTGAAAGCTTTCATTTATCTTGTAGACACTATATATTACCTGTGGTTGCTTGCTCTACATGTTGTTTTATGATAGTCGATTTTATTTATTTATTTATACTTTATAGCACACACAGAAAAAAAAATTGTAAACATTGCAATAGTAATTTGAGTACAATGGGCGGTCTTATCACACGCGGCGATTTTTTCCAGACAACCTTTGGATGGAATTTTTGAAAAGAATCTGGGAATGGGTGGTAGATGCACAATAAAAGAAAACTAAAATAGAAAAAAAAGAAGGTTTTAGTCGATGAGTGATATGAATTTTAAATGGCCACTACATACTTTTATTGCAACCTTTTATTCTTTGTTTCTTGTAGTTTATTTGATTCTTATTAATTATTATGTTTTCGGCTTAATCGCATAACTGTTTGAGCATCAGCAGTAACAGCGCGACAGTCGCCGCGTCGCGGAGCGCGGAATGCTACTCATGAATATGAGCCTCGTTGGCTGTGTGGCCGCAAGTGCGACTGCCGGGCAAGGGGTCTCGGGTTCAATTCCCGGGTCGCCCAAAGTATTACTGGGTTTTCAAAAAAAATCTCTGTAGTAGCACGCAGTCTGGAATTGTGGTCTGTGTATGACAATAGGCTCACCCCGTAGGCATTACGGCACTTTATGCCACTATACAATGTAACACCCACTTTTAACTATTTATGTTATGAGTCCCATGTAATAGTGGGTGAGCCTATTGCCATATACCGGGCACAATTTCAGACTCCGTGCTACTACTACGATTCTTTAAAAACGGCGCTTATTGAGTTATTTATTTAAAACAATATACAAAAGTGTTTGCATAAACAACATGTAGTTGAATAAACAGATAAACACATTTATTTACTCGTAATTAGTTAATAACATGTATCGTTTATGTACTTAACGGCCATAAATGAGTCTACACAATTATATATTTAACTTCAATATTTACAAACCATTAGTATTTACTGAACATTTTAACTGCAAAGAACAAATATAACTAATTAAGCAACATAATAAATCAAAATAGGGTTTATAATACCTAAGGCATTAAGTCCGTCTATATACCTACTTACATGTGTCCATGAAGTAGATATTAATTTAAAAACATAACATAACATCACGCCTTTTATCCCTGTATGGGTAAGCAGAGGTGGACACTACAGCACTTAATACCACTGTACAATGTAACACCCACTTTTCACTATTTATGTTATGAGTCCCATGTATTATTGGCATATACCGGGCACAATACCAGACTCCGTGCTACTATTGAGATTTTTTATACTTATAATAGGTACTTACCCAACTCGGAAATCGAACCCGAGACCCCTTGCCCGGCAGTTGCACTTGCGACCACTTGACCAATGAAGCAGTCATTTTCAAATTGAATTCCTTACAAAATCCTTTGCTTCTCTACCTAATCTTACATCCCTATAATATTATGTGAATGTCTGCTAGAAAAACTTTGAATCACATATATTAATGTACAATGTCTATTTTATAGGAATTTTCCTCGACTCTTGAAGTATTACACGGCCACAACTTCCGTAAATCGAACGCGACAATCGTTATTTCATGTATAAATCAGTAAATCAATGCGCATATTGTTAAAAAGGATTTTCCATTTTCTATTTCTATCTGTCTATCTGCCGAAGGAATAATGTTCACTATTTTATGATTAGAAAATCGATTGTACCTACTTAGGTTAGTTGGTAAATATTTACGGGTGGTCCTAATTGGCACTTTTTGCAGACTCCACTGAAACGAATAAAAATGTAGATGGAATCGATATTAGATGAAAAGTGTATAATATTTATATCTATTTTTGATTTCAAAAATGGTTAATAAAATTTGAAAAATAAAAATATTTAGACTACTTTGCGCATGATGATAGCAATGATAAAAAATTACGTCTTAATAAAATAGTAACACAAACGTTTAAAAAAAATCCATTTAAACTCGTTTTCCTCCATTCTCAGCACGATTTATACCATTTTATTCAATTTTTAATAACAAATAATAATAAACATAACAAATATATCAATAAAAAGAGCCGCCCGAACAGGGACTTGAACCCTGGACCCTTGGATTAAAAGTCCAATGCTCTACCGACTGAGCTATCCGGGCTGTAACAACTACATTGAAATAGCAACTCACTAGGAAAAAATTGGGTCAAACGACTAATAAGAATTTCGTTATCGCGACATTATGTACAAATTTGACTGACTGAGTGTTTCTGATATTTTTGTACACAGTATTATTGTTGTAAAGTAAATTCTTAACGTCATACTATTTTTCAGATTATTGTTATAAATAAAAATATGAAAAATGTTATTTATTCAATAACAATATTGTAACCTAAAGTGTTTATAGTAATGATTGTTATAAAACATAGCAGTCGTTTTATTTTTTGCTATTTTAAGTGTAAATAAATGTATAGACGCTATGTTATAATTGAATTAAATGTATGATGGGGCTATCGCCTGTCTATAACCTTCAGTAGGAAGGTTATATAAAACGCGTGACTATCTCATTCAACTATCGTATATCTATGAGTTAAAGGTTTCTAGTGAATAACTAAACGAATATTTCTATTTCATTCATCTACTAAACATCCTACCATATCTATAAAACTTATTTTTTTTATGGCATAAGCCGGTAAACGAGCAGACGGATCACCTGATGGTAAGCAATCGGCGTCGCCCATGGACACCTGGAACACCAGAGGCGTTACAAGTGCGTTACCGGCCATTTGGGGATTAG